CAAATTTGCATTAAATTTTTACCAAATTTATTTTTAATTTGTATGTTGATATACCATATATTGTTCTTTTCTCAGTTGATTTTATCTTCTCTGAAGTCCAAGGAGATACTAAATTTTGTTCAGCTGCAACATTCGATGTAGGTTTTTCGTCGCATGCTTTTGGAGACATTACCTTCTTACTATGCCTCGTTTACACTATGTTAAGGTGTGACAATGCCCCCTATTATTTTTGGTAAAATTATTGATTAAATTGATGGTTTATCTTATTCCCATATAGAAAGGGGGAAAAGAAATTTTTGGAAAAACATTGTCTTCCAACTTCAAATGAACCGTTGCTGGATAGTACTTTCATGGCAATAACAATGGCAATAACAGGGGACCGTTGGGAGCTTGGACCAAATGACGAATCTTCTCATCCAACTAGACAATTTCCATTATTAAATATAAGTTCAATCCGGAGAAAAGAGGGGAGAGGAGAAAAAAAAGGAAAAAAGTGTAACTAAATCCCTTGATTGAAAATACTAATAATGGATTGGGAGCCTTTTAAGGTGTAATGTATATAATTTATAAGTAATCCTTGTTTAGGGCGGGTAATATACAAAATTAGAATAATTTTGGTAAATAAATTTTAAATATTATGTAGAAACGAAAAAATCCCATAAATTAATAGTGGTACAAAAGTATCCATTCTCCCTTTTCTTTTACACTTGGTTGGGCCAAGTAATAATATTAAGTACAGAATTTGCACTAGTTTTTCTGTAAAATGAGGGAAGGATTGTAGGGTAGGTCCTTATTACAAACTTTGAAGGGCTCAATATTCATATTCCCATCTTGACTGTTGTTGCATTTTATAAGATTTGGGCTTCATAAAATTAGATGGGCTTGAACCATATTTTATTGTGAGGTCAAATGGTCAATCACAGGAAACATCAGAAAAACAAGTTGGTGTGGTGAACAAAACAAGTTGATTTACCATATGGAGTTTTTTGGTGTATGTGTTACACATCTCCCAAACTCTTTACTTCTCGTGGGATATAGGAGTGATCATTTTATAAATAATTTAGATTAATACATGGTTTAAATCGGTTATTACACATGTTGCGGCGACATTGGACGAACATCCGTTTTGTTCTTATTTTATGTTCGCTCCACTTCATTTTGCAACATTATTACTACTTGAAGAATAAAAAATATGACCTATTTTTTTCTAATATTAAATATTCTTATTTAATAACTATGTTTATAGTAGTATCCTTTATCGAAAATGAAATATTCAATATTTTTCCTACTTCAAAATTTTTATTGAAAGGAGAAATTAAAGTATAAATTTCAAATTGTAACCAAAAGAAAAATGGTTTCACTTGCGTACTTCAAAATTTTTACGGGTCGGTTGGAGTAATAAAAATAGATTTTATCACTTGAAAAAGTCGAAAAAGAACAGAAGAAAGCGGTATGATTGTAGTTATGTCAATGCATTTCTCAAAAGAAATGGATAGTGATAACAGGACATTTTTCCAATATCCGTATTGCCACGGAAACGTAACTATGAAAGATTTCTTCGGTTGGTAATTACTATAATTGTGATACTATGCATTTTTTTAACAAAAGTCACACTTCCCTAACGAATTAAGTTGCCCCTCCTCAAATGTCAAATCCTTGTCTAATTGAATTGAGCTGAAAACTAATACATGGGACGAATCATCGTTATACTTTTGGAGCATGGAAACATGGATCACCGGGTGGACTGCCGATAAGCTCGGTGGCAATGCAGGTTTGTAGGCCACCTCACCAATTCTCTCAAGGATCTCAAAGGGACCGATATACCTAGTGCTCAACTTGCCCTTCTTACCGAACCTCATCACACCCTTTATCGGTGAAACTCGCAGCAAAACCCTCTCTCCCACCATGAATGCTACATCACGAGCCCTCCCATCAGCGTAACTCTTTTGCCTAGATTGGGTTGTACGAAGCCGATCTTAAATCAACTAGACTTTCTCCAAGGCATCTCGAACCAAATCTGTGCCGAACAACCTAGCCTCTCTCAGCTCAAACGAACCAACTGGAGAACGAAACCGCCTCCCATATAAGGCCTCATAATGAGCCATCTGTATACTCGATTGGTAGTTGTTGTTGTAGGCAAACTCCGCAAGCAGTAAGAACTGATCTAAGAACCCCCGAAGTCCATAACATAGGCGCGTAGCATGTCCTCCAAGATCTGAATGGTGCGCTCGGACTGCCCACTCGTCTGGGTATGAAATGATGTACTCAACTCAACCGACGTACCTAACTCCAGCTGTACCGCTCTCCATAAATGCGATATGAACTATGTGCCTCGATCAGAGATAATAGACACCGGCATGCCGTGAAGATGAACAATCTCCCAGATATAGATTTGAGCCAGTTTCTCTAAAGAATAGGTAGCCGCCAGCGGAATGAAATGCACCGACTTGGTCAAGCTATCCACAATGACCCATACTGCATCAAATTTTTTCAAAGTCCGTGGGAGCCCAATAACGAAATCCATGGTAATACGATCCCATTTCAACTCGAGAATCTCAAGTCTTTGAACCAAACCGCCAGGCCTCTGATGCTCGTACTTCACCTGCTGGCAGTTCAAACACCGAGCTTCATACTCTACTATATCTTTATTCATTCTACTCCACCAATAATGCTGCCTCAAATCCTGATTGGGCACCCTTATCAATAAACTTACACATCCTATCCACATTGGGCACGTAAATCCGACCCTGCATCCGCAACACCCCATCATCTCCGATAGAAACCTCCTTTTTATCACCGTGATGCATTGTGTCCTTAAGGACAAACAAATGGGGGTCGTCATACTGATACTCTCTGATGCGCTCATACAAAGAAGACCGAGAAACCTTGCAAGCAAGAACCCGATTAGGCTCTGAAACATCTAACCTCATGAACTGATTGGCCAAAGCCTGAACATCTGATGCTAGCGGTCTCTCACCAACTGGAATATACGCAAGGCTACCCATTCTCACAACCTTTCTACTCAAGGCATTGGCCACCACATTGGCCTTCCCGGGATGATACAAAATGGTGATATCATAGTCTTTTAACATCTCTAACCACCTTCGCTGCCTCAAGTTTAGATCCATTTGCTTAAACAAGTGTTGTAGACTCCGATGATCTGTGAATACCTCAAACGACACACCGTATAGGTAATGCCTTCAAATCTTCAATGCATGAACAATAGCTGCCAACTCTAAGTCATGAACGGGGTAGTTCTTCTCATGAATCTTTATTTTCCTAGATGCATAGGCAATCACCCTACCTTCTTGCATCAACACGGCGCCAAGCCCAGAACATGACGCATCACAATACACAGTGTAAGGCGCCGAACCCGTAGGCAACACCAACATTGGAGTTGTAGTCAAAACAGTCTTAAGATTCTAAAAGCTCAACTCACACTCATCAGACAACCTGAATAGGGCACCCTTCTGGGTCAATCTAGTCAATGGGGCTGCGATAGATGAAAACTCCTCCACAAACCGGCGATAATAACCCGCCAAAACTAGGAAGTTCCGAATCTCTGTAGCTGAAGTAGGTCTAGGCCAGTTCTAAACTGCCTCAATCTTCTTAGGATCCTCTTTAATGCTCTCGGAAGATACAACATAGCCCAAAAAGGAAACCAAATCCAACCAAAACTCACACATTGAAAACTTGGCATATAACTAACTATCTCTCAAGGTTTGAAGTACAACCCGAAGATATATCATCAATAAAGATTATCATAAAAAAAATCCAAATAAGGCTTGATTACCCGATTTCTTGGTCAAATTAAATTTATATGAATTACATACTTTCTTATTTAAATAGAAAAAATTGAAACTATAGAACTACGAATATATAGTACGCAAATAAATAAATAAAAAACGAATATATAGTACTCGTAGTTCGCATTTCACGCTTCATTCTTGTTCCTGACAGATGTGAGTTTTAATATGTATATTTCAAATTCCGACCTAAATTAGAGGTTTTAGGCTTTCTTGGCCTTTTACAATGTTGAATTTAAGAAAATGTCTTTTTAGATCTTTTATGTGTAAATGAAAGATCTCTTATGTGTAAAACTAAATTTCTCACGTGTAAAAAAAGAGGTAGGGTCATAAAACTAAAAACAAATTTGTAAAAGACCAAAAAATCAATTGACCCCCTAAATTACTCCTCGATCGAAAAAATTTCCTAAAGTTTATAGCGCTAACTCCTTAAATATGAGTTATGCAACAATATATTGCGAGCAGTTTACTTTTAGGTTTCCTGCAAGAGTATTACTCCTACTTCATTGGGAAAAAAAATATAATGTAGTAGTTTTTGAGTCGGATTATGTATATATAATTTCCGCAATAAGATGTTTACGCAATGTTAATTACTTGATTTAGAGTAAAGATAATCACTTTTACAACTTTAAATTTCTAGCTTCCTGTAATTTTGGCTGATGGGCAGACTTAGGTAGTCTCAACGTAGGATAATGACACCATAGGCGACAAGAGAGAGATCAAAGGCAACTTTCCAGGATTGGTGACTTTTTTCTTTACTTCGACAACATGAATATTTTTCCAATTTCGTGCAGAATAAGCAAGTTGACTTGCCAGAAAAAAATATACTCCCTCCTTTCCAAGAACCTGTTTAATTGGGCAAGAAATTTAAGAAGAAATGAAGACTTTTATAATTTGTGGTCCTAAACAAGTCAAAAAGGGGACCAGAATATTTGTGTGGTTATTAAAGCTTCTCATTAAGGGTAGAATTGTAAGTTTAAGCTAAATTGTTTCCAAATTTAGAAAGGGGTCATTCTTTTTGGAAAGAACCAAAAAGAAAATAGATTCACATAAACTGGAACGGAGGTAGTATAGGTTTAATTTGTTTAGTATATTTAAAGTGTTGGATATATGTAATTTTCATGCTCTTCTTTATAACACGATTGCAGGAAAGCCTAGACTTTGGTCACTTTATAATGAAAATGACACCACACAAATCAAAGATCTATTATATAGTACTTCACAGTCAAAATCTCAAGAATACCAACAATACTACTACTAACAGCATCCAAAATAGTGCCTTTTTCCCACCCGTCTCAGGTAATTAATTAACGACCATTTTCGATTAATCTTCTATGTGACTTGAGCTCTCGACCTACCCGTTAAAAATCATGAGACATCTCTCCTATTGAATCAAACTCTCATCGCATTCATATGTACTATTAAAATTATCAAACACTATTGTACATATTACAATACATCCCACTGCAAAATCAGAAGAGCCGTGCACGAATTGCCCGATGGCCGATTCCAGGACTTGGGACTGACTCCAAATTGCGATCAACATGGCCGCCAGCATATTGCTTTTTCTTATAATTAACAAATGCGGCGTGACCTCTTTTGCTCGGTGAAGAAGGTGAGATTTTTCCTTTGGGAAGGGCATTTAATAGCAAATTAGCTTCTCGAGAACGAGCTGAATCAGTATTCTTCTTATCCTTGCTGTTCAAAAGTTTTCTTGCTTCAAAACATGGTGCAGTACAGACTAATAGAATAACCAAAGCAATGAAAAGCATCATTTCAAAACGAGCCATTGTTACTTTAATGAGAGGGTAATAACAAGCTCGTGGGATGGAGGCTGATGAAATGGAAATGGTAGCAAAAGAAAAATAGAATTTGTTGGAATTATGAAGAAAATTGAAAGGAAAAAGCAGAGGGATTTATAGGAAATAAAAAGAGGATATTTTAAGAGAGGCGTGAGGGTCAAGTTAGTTTTGCATGGTCAAGATATATTAAATGTTTAAAATATATTCTAAGAATATTTTGGGAGATCCGGGATCGATTCCCTTCACCAGCAACCTCTTCGGTCAGAGCTCGTCGCACCGGGTGTGCCTAATGCGGTTTACATCTCCTATTTGGTTTGCGAGTTATTGTACAGTGCTGAACAAGTTACCTAATGCGCACCCAAAAGGTAGCGGTTGCGGATTTCCTTGGAAATTTTTCAAAAAAAAAAATAAATATTTCGCTTGTGTTTCCTACTAAGTATCGTAGAAATTGGCCTGGGCGGAATTTGGGTAGGTACAGATGAACTAAACTAAGCCGCCAGCATTTGCTGTTCCCCATCCATGTTCAAAAGTACACTTTGCTGGCCCAGGGACGGAACTAGTGGTGCAAGAGGCCGGTTCATTAGAACCTCTTTTGAAAAACATTTGCGGTGTATGTATATATATCAAAGTTACTCTTTTTACGTGTATATATATATATATATTAAAGGTTGAATCACTTAATTAGCTTATTCCTATAATTACTTTTTTATATTTTGGATCTTCTTTAGTGAAAATTCTCATTCGGCGACTGAATTGGCCCTCTTGCTATTCCTTATATATGCTTTTCCTATCAGTTTGGTTTGGGGCCGGGATTACGAAGGTTCACTTCACTTGGTTGAGTGTATATTGCATTTTCAGTAGGGGCACGTATATATCATCTGCAGTGACTTCTGTACTTGTGCACGCAAAGTCTAGTTTGAAGCCTTTTTAGTAATATCAATACTCACTTGCATTTCCTTCCACGAAAAGAGGGCTCAAAGATTCGAGTTAATGCTGCTTTGACGAGATTGACAGAGACTCATTGTGTTACAAGACATAAATAGTAACAAAGGCAAAAAGAATAAAAGAAGCGTGGATGAATCAAGTGCTTATTGACAAGACTAGCACTTTATAGGAGAAGACTAGTTTTGTTGAAGCCCCTAAAGTCTAAACAAATTGATTAGGCAGAATGACCTAAATGACACCTATACTTGTGTCACTTTGTCATGTCGGTCCTTTTACTTTACTTTTTTTTTTCCAAACACTTTAACTTGTTCAAAATTTATATTTTAAACCCCTCTGACCATGTGTGTATCTCACTTGCTTGACGTGGATGATACATTATATTCCACGTCATTTTTTATATTTTATCTACTAAAAACACTTATTATTTACTATTTTCTTAAAGAAAAAGAAAAAGAAAATCAATGCCTCCATCTCATCTCTCTTCCCTCAAATTCACAGATTTCTTCTTCCTTGTCCATCTCATATCCCTTCTCCATTCTCATCTCCCTTCTCTGTCTCACTATTCCGTCGATGAAAAATCATTTAGGTAGTTTTTACTCAAATGATGAAATTGGTCAGGCCAAGAAAATGGCTATTCATACAAATGATCCAAATTTTGATGAACCAGAAGAGAATCAAACTGAATCTTGAACTGAATCTGTGTGTGTGTGTACTGTGCATGTGTGTGTGTATGTATGTGTGTGTGTATGTATATAAATATATATACAATTTAGGATGTTAAATATATGTCGATTATAAGTAACAATAATATATAAGTGTTTGATCATTTGGACCACTAATACCGACCGATTTCGGTCGGTATTTTTATAATTATATTAAAAGTAATTTTTTATTATAAAAAAAATAATTGACGCAGGGCGAGAAAAAATAAATTAGAATTTTTGACCACATCGGTCGGTATTTTTATAATTATATGAAAAATAATTTTTTATTATAAAAAAAAACTAATTGACGCATGGCGGGAAAAAATAAATTAAAATTTTCGACTGATTGCGGTCGGTATTTTTATAATTATATGAAAATTAATTTTTTATTATAAAAAACCAATTGACGCAGGGCGGTAAAAAATAAATTAAAATTTCCAACCGACTTCGTCGGTATTCTATAATTTTTTTAATTAATCATTTCTTTTGTAGATAGTATGCAAGTCTGACCAGGATTTGGTCAAATATTGACTATTTTCCGACCGTAGTCGGTCAGAAATTTCAAGTGTGTTAGATAAAGCAAACTTTCTTTTTTGTGGGACCACATTTTCTGACCGATTGTGTCGGTATTTTTATTTATAATTTGTTATTTGATTTTTTTTGATCAATTTACTTCGTTTTCGACTAATTTCGGTCGGTATGCTCTGAACGATTTTTGACAGTGTTCTAGTAGTGAAAGTGTTTTTCACTGTAGGTGTATACAAATTAAATCCATGAACAATTCATAGTACTGTTCAAACCAGGATGATATTTATGAGACTAAGGTTAATTTATATATATATATATATA